TATCCAAAACTCTCCCTCTCTCCCACACACATACGCACATGCACACACCCAAGGATAGCCTGATCCCCCCCCCCCAAATATAAGGTTTCAGGCAGAAAAACAACATGCTATTGTAAAAAGTATAATCATTTATTACTTGTAGAATTAGTGGTTGGGCATGGATTCAAAAGCTACTATTTAAAGCCAACATTGACATCTAGTGGACATAGCATATAAACTAAAAGCACAGGGGGTTTGTTTTTGAGATTAAAAAGAATAGTTCCAGGGGTAGGACAGAAACATTCCACCCCCAAATAAAGCCCATTAAATGTGAGAACATTAGTTTTATCTTATGTTTTACTGCTCATTTTCTTCTGTATATTGCAACATTTGTGCCACTTTTTTCTTCTAAATGCAGTGCGTTCTTCCTGGATTAGTCACAGGAGAAATCCCAGTCAAACCTAGGGATCATAGACGCAAACACCACAATGCTTCAAACTTCGCAGGTTTCTTTGTACAGCAACATGATGAAGAACAAGCTCAGCTAATTCAGAGTGACGGCAATAGCTGATCATAAATTACATTTATTTATTCACTTTAAATGAACCGTGGGGGGGGTTGATTTAAAGAAAAGATTTTTAAAATCTAAATCATGATTTAAATCAATCTGATTTTTAAAAATCATTGATTTCTATTCACTTTGAACAGAATGATTGATGCAATCAATATAACTGACCAAGCCAGGCTAGAGATCAATCTTGCTAAGACAAAATTAACTCAATTCAGAGTGAAGGCAGCACTTATCAAATACTGTATATAAATATTAGAAATGCTTAATTACCAGCACACGCACACACTCCCTACACACAATATGATCCAAAATGGATAATATACTTTTTCACACAGAAAGTAATAAAAAACAGTATGTACTATAAACAAAGGGCCTGGAGGTTTGGTTGTCATATTAGTCTCAGATATTAAAACTGTCATGTTGGAACAGTAATAGCACAACATTTTCTATAGACATGACATTGATGAGCAACTCAAAACAAATTTCAGAGCATCCCTGAGTTTAAGCTAATTTAGATTACATGTACAGTGGTGCCCCACATAGCGACAATAATCCGTTCCGGAAAAATCATCGCTATACGGATTCGTCGCTATGCGGAACAAAAAAAACCCATAAGAATGCATTAAAACACGTCTAATGCGTTCCTATGGGCAAAAAACTGACCGTTATGCGAAAACCCTCCATACAGCCGCAATTTTCGCTGCCCAGTAAGCGAGGAAAGGGCGCGAAAACATTGCGGGCGCCCATTTTTTAACCTGGCGGCCATTTTGGAACCTCTGATCAGCTGTTAGAAAAAACATTGCTATGCGAAAATTGGTAAGCAAAACAGCTTACCGATTGTCGCAAAGCGATGTTTTATCATTTGAAATATCGCAATGCGATCGCAAAAAAGCCATCGCTATGCGGATTCTTCATTAAACGGGGCGCCCGTTATGCGGGGCATCACTGTATACTGCAGTTATACCAGGCAATCTGATACCACTGCCAAGACTCCATCTTACAAAATCTTGGAACTTCTAATTTGATGAAGAAGTACCAAGAATTTTCTGCTGGAGAGCTATCATGGTGTAGTCTAGGTAAGCTCCCTAGAAGAGAATATTTTGTCAGATTAGAAATCCCAGGTTTCTGTAAAATGGAGCCAGGACAGCCGAAGTGATATCAAACTACCTGGTACAACTATGTAGTGTAGACACATTCAAAGTAATAGTTATAAGAAAGGCTGTATCAACATAAGATGGGATGGGTGAATTTTCACACCCTGTTCATTTTCTCAAGACCCTAGTTAATGCTCCACTTCTACTGTACACTTAAACTGGCATCAAAAACATCAGAACAGGGTATAAAACAAGTGGATACCTCACTATCCCCTGGAATGTCCTTCAAATCATGTTGTATGTGAAATGCAGAAAGTGCCACTGACCAGAAAGGAAGAAAAAGGCAAAGTGCCTCTCTGAAAGGGTAGCTTCACTCCTCATGGACCACAACTTCAAACCTGCCTTACAAACCATGCACCCTTCAGATGTACTGGATTATGAAAGTCAACATGTCGTACAAGGCTTTAATTATCAAGTTTTTTTTAAAAAAAACCTTAAAATAAGTTTTACATTTCATACTCTCTTGTTTAATTTTGTTTTTTAAATATAACAAAATACGTATATAATGAAAACATAAATGACAAATAGAATCACAACTCAAATATAGTGTAACCCACCACCATTGGAAATATAAATTTATATACAGGATACATATATATATAGACATCAATATATTTCATCTTAATTTATATCATGTGCCCCGTCTCTTTCCAAAATAGAACGATTTTTGTGTTGGGGTATAACCTTTATGTTTTGTACATATGTATTCTATATAAGGGTTCCAAATCTCATTAAAACTATTCACCTTCAATAATCCTTTCCTAACTTTCATTCACAAGTTAATTTATCATTAATAGCTAGATTCCACATCTCATCACATCATTCTTCCAACATCAATTATTATTTTTCCAGTTCCTTGCAAATATCAGTCTAGCTGCTGTTAACATAATAATTATTTCCATTTCCCCCTATCTAACTGACAGTTTCCAAATATATTTGTAGCGGAATCCAAAAGATGACATCATTCCTGCCTGTCAATCAGAGGATACAGCAGGAGGGGCGAAGCTAACAGGACAGTTAGACAGTTGGAAGGGACAGTTAGAGACAGTTGGAGTCTGATAGGGATAGAGAGAGGGACCAGAAGCTATTGAGAGAGTGTTAGGGTTTAGGAATATATTAGAGGGGCTAGGAAAGAGAACTGAACAGTTTACATCATACTGAACAAGCAGGAATGAACACATAAGCATAATATGAGAAATATGAATGTGACTGAATACATGATTTAATATACATGAACACCTGAAACAGTTATATTTGATTCTCCTTATGATTTGTTTGATAATAAAAGAATATTTGATCAAAACCCCAGATTCCTAAGTTATATGAGCAGCTCCTGTGTGGGGGACCTGAATTGGTATTAGGATAATACCTGGTGGCAGCGATAAAAGGGCGAGTTTACCTTTGTGGAGCCCAAAGGGGGATCGCATATACATGAACACCTGAAACAGTTATATTTGATTCTCCTTATGATTTGTTTGATAATAAAAGAATATTTGATCAAAACCCCTGATTCCTAAGTTATATGAGCAGCTCCTGTGTGGGGGACCTGAATTGGTATTAGGATAATACCTGGTGGCAGCGATAAAAGGGCGAGTTTACTTTTGTGGAGCCCAAAGGGGGATCGGCACAATATTTAACAACACCATTCTCCCCTTTTAAGAGACAGAATCTCCTCCATCCTTTAACACCAAAATCTGGCCTTCTACTTACCATTATCTTAATGGTTTTCAAGATTAGAGGCTTTCCCCCACCTCCAATACTGCAATACGGGTGTGAGTAAAGCTCATCTTTAATAGAATGCTTACATATTACTTTCCGGATCAGAAGCTGAAAAATTGATTTAATAATCATAGGCCTAAAGCCGTCTGCCTCAAACAACAGTCTCTCTTGACAAACAGTGTTTGAAAACAGGTGGAAGTTCCAAAAGCAATGTATACTAGGATACAGAATCAACTGTATTACTGGTGCACAGGAGTGCATCTTTGATACGGTATGACCAATGGATACATCATTCTTCTAACTTTTAATGTTCCAGGTTTTTTAAAACTTTCTTCCCCTTCATTTTACTACCATATTTTCGTACCACATAGGCAATTATGAAGTTACTTTCCAAATGCATACTATTCCCACTTGGGGGAGAAATGCTTCCCACTGCTGCTTTTTAAATTTGAAGTTGATCTGTTGTTTATAAGATACTATAGCTTTCAAAATACTGTACCTGTTTCACACAGGAAATTGTCCATAAACTCTTACTTCATAGGTTTATTGAAATATTCTGTAGCGACGGATCAAACCTCTTGCCAATACCTGAGGAAACTACTTGAGTCTTGGCAAGATTATCGCCTGGCAAGAGGATAGATCAGGACAGTAGCTTTACCATAGAAGTGTTATTGTGAATGCACGTAGAGGAGCCACAGAGAGGGAGGGAGAAAAGACAGAGAGGAGGCATAGAAAGAGCGGAGAAGATACAGTAGCTTTACCATAGAAGTGTTATTGTCCATGCACATAGAGGAGCCACTGAAGAGAAGCCAAAGGGGGCAGGGGGAAGAGACAGAACCCCCCCACACACACATACACACGGGGGGGGGGAGAGAGGAATAACAAAGAAAAAGAGACAGTAAGCAGCCACAGGGATTGGGGGAAGGAGAGACAGTGAAGAAGAAGGAAAGGAACCATGAAGGAGAAGGAGAAAGAGAACGTGATAGAGGGAAAGACAGCAGCCAGAAAGAGAGAAAGGGAGGAAACCAGAAGACAGATGAGCCACAACAAGGGGCCAGGGAGAACAAAAGAAAAGAAGAAGCCATCAAGAGGAAATTCCTCTGGAGTATTTTGAAGCCATAACAATCCAAAGCCAGGACCCTACTCCAATGCAGCATTGGTGTCATCAACATCAGCATTGGCTTTTGCTATGTATAGCATAGTACTGTATCCTTTTCGCTGGTGGCAATGACATTGCAAGGCAACTCAAGAGCAGTTCCTGCTGTTTTGAACTGTGCATAGAGAGGCAATAGCCCACACTGAAATCAGTGGGGGGTTTTTTTGCAATGGTTGGCATTTTTTAAAGCACACAATTCCACTCAGGGCAGGATAAGCTTTTCATAGACGTGCAGTTGCCTATTTTGATTCCAAGCAATTATTGGTACATTTGTTTTGAAATGGTACACAACTGCTTTTTTATTTCCAATTCCGTACTTCATGCATTTGAAGTTTCACAAGCAAACACTTTAAGTCAGGCAATTGGTATTCTCTAACTCGAAAAGACTTGTCTGAAATAATGATGAACAGTGCATACCTACCCGGATTTCCTGTAGGTTGTGAAAGTTGTTGCCTACTCTGACAGAGATTTTGCTTGGAGTGTAGCTTTCATCGGATTTATAATCTGCATAAATACATAGTGTCTTCACTGTTGTTTTTCTTCTGGAAACAAAATTCAAGCCTTAGAAGAAGAAACCACCCATGCTATTTTCTTTCTGACTGTGGTTTTTGAGTTGCTTTTTAGATTGTGATTGGACATTTTAATTTGTTTACTTTACTTTGAACATTTGTAAAGAAGATATTTGGATACAATAAAAATGGCTACAACAAACAAACACTCATTGACAAGGATTAATTTCAAATCAGCTTTTTACATTTTCATTAACAACATTACGGAATATTTCACAACGTAAAATGTGATCTGTAATGCAGGAGTAGGCAAAGTGTAGCTTGTGGGCTTCCTGTAGACCCCCAGAGGACCACTGTTTCTCCACAAGGCTGTCAAAACACTCCAACCTGCCCAATCCCCTCTTTTTGTGCCTCATAAATGCAAATGGTGCTACTCGGCAGCTGGGGTGGGAGGTGATTTGCACAGTGCATGCCAGGCCAGCCTCTGGGTTTTGTTTTATTGTTTGTTTGTTTGCACGTATGCTACCTTTCTCCCCAAAAGGACCCAATGCTGCTTACATCACTTAAACAGTATTTAAAAGCTAAAACAGTAGGTATACAAATATTTAAAAAGAATTAAACAAGTACTATATTAAAATAGTAATTAGGATCAATATTAAAACACATTTTAAAAAACAGAGTACAGTGGTCTATTTAAAGCGCGGATCAATATTAAAACACATTTTAAAAAACGGTCTATTTAAAGCGCCTCTCAGACCACCAGTCATTAAGGAAAAGCCTGCCTGAAGAGAAAGGTCTTTGCCCGCTTACAGAAGGACAGCGAAGATGTGGTCAGTGTAGCTTCCTGTGGGAGAGAGTTACAGAGTCTGGGAACAGTGACAGAGAAGGCACTGATTGTGGAGTCTGGGAGCAGTGACAGAGAAGGCACTGATTGTTTTTGTTTTGAAGATACCCTATTTCTACAAAAAGGCCTTTATAGGCCTAAGGAACGCCCTGGAGGATGAGAAATTAAGCATACAGTATAAATCACAAACCACAGAGCTTTAAAGGATCACAATTTGCACGTGATGGGGAAAACCAAGGAGGGGTGCTTTGAGGGAAAAGAGAGCAGACTTAAGGGCTGTAAGACCCATGGATTTGGAAGAATTGCTCCCAGGCCCTGGAAACTGCACAGCCCTGAGTAACAGGAAACATTTCAACCACTGCCTGTGCTGTCAGAATAATTTATATTAAAATTACATCAAAAAACCTTTTTTTTCAACTAGCTGTTATGATTTTAATACTGCCTCCTTTCCAATAAATTGGTTTTCCAACTTGAGAAGAACATCAAAACGATCTTTTCTTACTCTACAAAGCTGAAGCTGACAGCATTTACATTCACCACATAAACACCTAACTATCTGCCTCCTTTCCAATAAATTGGTTTTCCAACTTGAGAACATCAAAATGATCTTTTCTTACTCTACAAAGCTGAAGCCGACAGCATTTACATTCATCACATAAACACCTAACTACTATATGGCACTTTAAGCATATGCATGCATATAGGCAGAAGAGAATTACAAGAGCTTAATCAATTTTATTGGTTTGGAATTATGTGTACACAGGACTCCAATAAATTGGTTTTCCAACTTGAGAACATCAAAATGATCTTTTCTTACTCTACAAAGCTGAAGCCGACAGCATTTACATTCATCACATAAACACCTAACTACTATATGGCACTTTAAGCATATGCATGCATATAGGCAGAAGAGAATTACAAGAGCTTAATCAATTTTATTGGTTTGGAATTATGTGTACACAGGACAGAATAACAAATTCTTTCTGCAGCCACTCCTTCCATCATCCTCCGTAAAGTCCAGTATATGTATATATTAGCATGGAATACCTGAACTGGATGTTCACCAAATGAGGCTGTGATCCATCAGACTGCCAGTAGGTTTCCAAATTATCATCTCGTAGTTGGTCCACACCAAATCCTGCAGTGAACAAAGAAGTATATATCTTCAGCACTGTATTCTTGTATTGAAGATGCCACAAACGTCACAGTTGTATTATCTGTGGTGGAATACAGAGGTGCTGTAACAACTCTGGAATTGGGAATTTAATATTAAAGCACTAACATAATTATCTAGAAAAGTGGTTTCCAACCTTGGGTAACCCAGGTGTTCTTGGATTGCAACTCCCAGAAACCCCTGGGCAGCACAGCTGGTGGTGAAGGCTTCTGGGAGTTGCAGTCGAAGAACACCTGGGTTACCCAAGATGGGTATCACTTATTTAGAATATCCTGTTAGTGAGTTTCACACTCTACCCTTTCTTGAATTCTTGGATTATTTATAGAAAATGAATATCTATATAATGCCCCAAACCAGATCCATATAGGATAACTGATTTAACTACACGCACCAGGACAAAACATTTCAGTCCTGCAAAATCCATGCTTTGTGGCAAAACCCATGTAGAACGAAATCTGCAATGAAGCCATTCTTCAACATTGTCATCTGATGAGCTGTAAACAATGTCTCCACGTTTCAGCTACTTTTGACATGCAGTGGTTTGGTGTGGTCTTTTCCCCCGTTCTTACTATTTTCCAGACAAAAGTTCTCCAACAAACATATTACTTTCTGCCACTTTTTATTTGTTTGTTTTTCCCCCAGCCAATGTAATGCTACTGAGACAATATATATAGTACAGTAATGCTATTGAGACAATACATATATTGCAGTTTTAGGGGGAACCATGATGATCCAGTATAACCCAAAACCCATTCAATGCAGTTTTTTCTTCCTGGTAGTAGGGTTAAATTAACTCACTTTCCATAAACAGCAGATGGGAAATTAACTAAGTATGTGTATGGTTTGACTATGCGTACTATGAATTGGAATTTACCTGGTTTACAAGAGGAAAGTGACCAAACAGCTTGTGATCCTATTTCCCGAACTGTTCCGGTCCTTTCTAGCTGCTTTGGATCTGCACCAGGAGGTGTCTTGTTAGCAGTTGTCATTTTTCACTAACAACAACAACAAAAAGAAATAAAGCATTTAAAACTATGCATATTCATAACAGGATCAGTATGGCTATTTTGAAAAAAAGCCTATAACAAATGTAGCAATTTTTGAATGAAATCTATAACTTATTAGAGTTAACGTTAGTGGTTTAAGCATTTGTCAATATTTTAAAAAATCTACAGACACTAACAGCAGATTACTTTGCAATTTTAAAAAGATGCAAGAATAAATTCCATCATTTAAAATTTAAAACAAAAAGGAAACAGTGTGTAGCTAAATCATTCTTGCAATGTAATCATGCATGTGCCTAACACAGAGAAAGTCCAGCTGAGTAGGAATTACTTCTGAGTAAACATACCTAGATTAAAACTATTATTTAAAATCTGCCACTATACAACACAGCCCACACCACTGATCTTTCCGCTCTCCTTTCTGTATTTGGCCCAAAATGCCAAGAGAACAGGAAAATGCCCCAAATCAGGTAGAAGAATCTTGAATCCCTTATGCAAAGTTCCCACTTTCAGCAATTCCCTCTTTCCACAGTAGCCGTGGAAGAGACAGATCACAATGCTCAGTAGTTCTCCTTGACCTCCAGCACAGGGTTTTGAGAGGTATCGCCAATAGGCCACAAAGAGCAAGATAAAAGGAGGAACAACCATTGCATAAGCTAGTCTTCTGCCTATGCAGTGTTCGAATTTTACCATTAATGTTTTAATTCATCACCTCACCCAGCCATTGTGTCACTTGCATTTGCAATAGCAATCTAATACTAAATAGCACCATAAACCTCACCTATGTTACTTAAGCCAATGTGGAATAGTAAATACTCAGTGACTGATTAGGACACCAGAGACTAATCCTTGAATAGCTCACATATCTTGAATATCTTTTAATCAAACGTGACTTGACAGCACATGGCATGACCTGTTACTTCTCAAATGTTTATTCAGAAAAGTCAATGAATATCATATTTTTCCGTGTAGAAGATGCTACTTTTTCCTAAAATCATTACACTAAAAATTGAGAAGCGTCTGATACACGGATGTATGCTGAGGAGAGACCAAAACTGCCTGTACCTCGCCTCTGCAAACAGGCTTCCTTCAATCAGGAGGCTTAGTTTCCTCCAATCCCAAGCCTTATGGAACTGACATCAGCTGATGCTGAACAAACCAACTGAAACACACCTCGTTGGAGGTGGAGCCTGTAGGCTAAGATGCAACAGGGACTTATAATGTCCGAGTGTTCTGAGCCCAGAGGCTGAATAATCAAAGCTAAGTTAAGATTTCTTAATTTTGGTTTAGAAAAGTGGTGTGTGTGCGCGCGTGTGTGTCTTATACATGGGGGAATCTTATACATGGAAAATATACTAAGCTGGAGCATGTGTATTGTGCATTGCAGATATTATGCCTAATCTACTAAACCAAAGCCTTTTTCTTGGTACCACCACCTTCACAGGTATGTTTGGTGGGATCATGGGAGAAGGCCTTCTCTGTTGCAGCTCCCAGATTTTGGAACTGCCTCCCACAGGAGACCATGCTGGCCCCATCTTTGCTGTCCTTCCACAAGCTGGCAAAGACCTTTCTCTTCAGGCAAGCATTCCATTAATGACTGGCTGTATGAATGGGGATTTTAAATGGATGGTAGTGTCATACTATTTTGAATGGGTTTTTGGTGGTGCCTTTGTTTACTGTATTTTAGTGTGGAATTCATGTGATCCTTTTTATCATTTGTATACTTGCTGCTTTTAGCTTTAAATATTGTCTTTTAAATGTATGAGCCACGTCTCCTTTTTAAGGAGAGAGACAGGGTAAAAAGTATTTTAAATAAAATAAAAAATAATTTTATAGTAAACAGAATCAACTTTGAACGGATAGTGGATTTACATATTTCCCTTTTACAGGAAAATGGATGGAATCCTTATTACTTTGATCATGGAAGTTTGGGATGATATTCTGACTGAGGATGAACATCAGTTACACAATTTTGCACAATCATTCTTGCTCAACCTAGTTCAGTTTAAAGTATTTTTATGAAAATAAAGTGAATAACCACCATAGAAGCCACGGCTAAACTCTTGGAAGAACAGAAAAATGAAAAATAGTATGTGAAGGAGAACAGGGTGCAAGTGTGCCGTCTTCATCCGCAGAACCCGAAAAGGAGGAGAAAGAGGTGAAGGAGGGCAATGTAGGAGAAGTGACATGAGTGTTAGGAGAAGGGAAGAAAAAGATAAAGGTTTGTCTGATAGAAGAAGGAGAAGGAAGTAAAGGGGAGGAGTTAAAGCTCCCTACGTGGGAGGAGAATATAAAAGAGTGGAGAGAACAACGTTTCAGCAGCAGTGGAGAAAGAAAGCAGAGAAAACAAAGAAAGGAAAGAATCAGAGAAAGCAGAGAATAAGTACGAAAAAGTGTGGGACTTATTAAAGGACTTCCCCAACTTAAAGGGAGGAGGTCTACTCCCTGATCCAGATATTCCGAAAGGAGGAGAGGCTGTTTATGAGACACAAGAATGGATGGTAATAGTGTTTCTGCATGGGCAAGGATGTGGGAAGAGAGTGAAAAGCCCCAATCTAAGTGTATAGTACTCCACTGAAGGAGGGAGATTGGGCACATCAGTCTCCTGTGGGACAATGTGCACTATGAGGAGCGCTCCCATGCACAGGATCACCAACCGAGAGCAGTTCGGTCCAGTTCCTCAGTGAATGGACTGATGCTGGAAGAGAGGTCTGTCTTGACCAGTTACAGACAGTTACCTAATTTATCCTGTTTTGACTCTGTTGGTCTTACTGTTGAATCTCCGCGAGAAAATAAAACAGAGAAAGTTAACCCGTTAACTCAGTCTCAGTCTCTTCTTCCCGCCAAAACTAAGAAACTGTCACTGGTTTTGAAAGAACCCAATCACATAGTATTTTCTATATTTCATCCTTAAATAATTCCTCCCTGTGCTTTCAACTGAAAAATAAATCATTGACACGCAAATCTAAAATTTATCCTGTGAGATATTAAAGTTGTAACCAAGATAATTATCCACATTTCACACAGTAAGTGTCATTGCTGTACAAAATAACACAAACTACATTATCTTCCTTTTTCTTCTTTTTAGGTTAAGAAAATTGGTAACAGTAATGAACAGTAACAGTAATGAGTGATGAAATAATTACGCAACAGGAAAGTCCAAAGAGACCTTTAGCTATTAGTTACAGTTATCAAAATAGTTTCAAATTTATTAACAGCAAAAACAATTTCCAGTGCGTCAGATCTGACTTCAACACAGTTTCCCATTCTCAGTGTCAAGGATTTGTGGTTTGCAGCCATGTACTAATTGTGTTTTAGACAGCTATGACGATCGCCCCACGTCACTCCTGTCACTCGCACCCAGGATCTCATTTGCATGAGCCTATGAGAGGAGTGGAGGGGCGGAGTCAGGAGAGAGAAGAAGGTGGCAGGGGGGAAATGGAATAGTCAGAGAGAGGGAGAGAAATCAGCAGAGATAAGGAGAATAAGCAGAGAGAGATAGTGAGAAGAAATAATAATAGAGATAAGCTGGTCAAGAGAAATAGAGCAGGTGAAGAATGTGGCAAGATACATGATATTTGAATGATTAACATGGTATGCATTGAATAAAGAACATCTGTGATTCTGATTAAAGTAATACACTTCAATAAATAAATAAGTTCTGTTGGCAACAACCTGACAAGTATCTGACTAAAGTTCTTTATATATTGTGGATATAGGAAATCCACTGGTGGCAGTGAGAAAAAGGGGGAACATCCCAATTGTTATCTGCTGGTGGAAAGACATAGTGTAAACCTTTTGTTTGGGAAAACAAGCAGGGGTTACATGGTAAACGTCACAGTGGCCATTTTCTATTTTAACAACATGGACCTTCAGAGCTGGAAAACAGAATCTTCACATGACACAAAAGAATGTTTCCCTAGATACTAGACTGTATCGCAAACATCCAAAAAGTTAAACATCACAACATACTTCTTTCTCTAAGAGAAACAAATAAGAGGCATGAGACAGAACTGTTTTTATGGCTATGCTCTTGCAAATTGATGTACAGAAATTAAAAGGGAAAAAAAGAAAATACAATAAAATCCTCAGCACCCATTACTGGTTGAGGGATTCTGAGATTTGTAGTAGAAGCATTTCCAGCCTCTGATGCTAAACGTAGCAGAGAATGCATGAGTTTACCTTCATGTCTTCATTGTGAACTTTTCCAGAATCACTTGGCTTAATACCGGGAGAAAAACTGTAGTTGATTAAATGGACCTTAGGTCTGATATAACAGGGCTTCTCTTCTCTTATTGAATTTTGTTGTTGCTGTTGTTGTTTGGTCATGTCTTCCACTGCCTCCCGGAGTTGGGTCAGATTCACATTGGTAACTTCGATTACACTGTCCAGCCATCTAGTCCTCTGTCGCCCCCTTCTCCTCTTGCCTTCTCTCTTTCCCAACATCAGGGTCTTTTCCACGGAGTCGTCTCTTCTCATGAGATGGCCAAAATATTGGAGCCTCAGCTTCAGGATCTGTCCTTTCAGTGAGCACTCAGGGCTGAATTCCTTGGTTTGTTCTCCTTGCAGTTCAGGGGACTCTCAAAAATCTCCTCCAGCACCACAATTCAAAAGCAGCAATTCTTCAGCGGTCAGCCTTCTTTATGGTCCAGCTCTCACTTCCATACATTGCTACTGGAAAAAACCATAACTTTGACTATGCGGACCTTTGTTGGCAAGGTGATGTCTCTGCTTTTTAAGATGCTGTTGAGGTTTGTCATTGCTTTCCTCCCAAGAAGCAGGCATCTTTTAATTTCGGGGCTGCTGTCACCATCTGCAGTGATCACGGAGCCCAAGAAAGTAAAATCTGTCACTGCTTCCATATCTTCCCCTTCTATTTGCCAGGAGATGATTGGACCAGCGGCCATGATCTTGGTGTTTTGTTTGTTTGTTTGTTTTTTTGATGTTGAGCTTCAGACCGTTTTTTGCACTCTCCTCTTTCACCCTCATTACGAGGTTCTTTAATTCCTCCTCACTTTCTGCCCTCAGAGTGATATCATCTGCATATCTGAGGTTGTTGATATTTCTTCCTGCAATCTTAATGCCAGCTTTTCACCCTTAATCACCATCAAACACATCCTTATACATATTCACCGAGATTTTCCTTTATCTTTTTGAGCAGTGACTTTTGTTCCGTTTCAATCACTGCTTTTTTCTTCCTCTGCACTCGTCTCTCTCTCTCTCTCTTTTATATCTATTGGTTCTCTTAGGTATCCTTTTCAAAAACCTTTTCTCTCTATTTAATGGGCAAAGATTGGTGGTGGGTTATGAGGGCTATCTCAATCATAACTTTGCAGTTCCAAGATTATTATAATACATACCATCGTTTTCTATTTTTAACAAGACTTTCCGTATCTTAATAACACTAATGCCCCGATCGCGTTGAGGAGGGGATAAAGGGCTTATCACGGACAAAAGGAAATGAATAGGAGCTGCTGGACTGCTGGTTTAGAAGGTTTGGAGTTCGATTCCCCACTGTGCCTCCGGGACAGGGGCTGGACTCGATTATCCATAGCGTCCCAGTCCTGCAGTGCTAAGATTATGATGATGATTATAAGATGCAAGAGAAGCAATGCAACTCCAAAAGGAAGCTACTGAGTAAGGAAGGAGGATTACTTACGCTCTCTGCAACCGAGACGCACCACCGGCTGCTCTTTGACACGCCCTCACACCACTCCGTTGATCTTTCGCCAATATCCCTCCGCCTTCTTCTTTTACCCGCTCCACTTCGCCCCGCCCGTTGGTTGACAATAGCCCGTCGCTAAGCGATGTCGTCACATAGCGGGAGGTTTCCCATGCACTTCCGGGGCTCCCTCTTCTCTATGGCGCCTCATAGGCGTCATCTCTATGGTGAGCGGCACCGGCTCCTCCTTTCAGGGTGGCGGCCATTTTGGCCGGGTGGCAGTAGGAGCACGTTGTCTCCGTGTCCAGCTGTTGAATCACGGCGTCCCGCAAGGCAGCCTTCCTCAGCCCTTTCCCCTTGTCCCCGTCCCGGACGGGAGACGTCTCCTTCCCCTTCTTAATCTCTCTGGTAAGTAGAACCTGCGAGAGGAAGATACTTGGGCTTCTTCTGTGTTCAGGTGGGGCCGCTTGGGTAGCTGTAGATAAGGCTGGCTGGGCCCCGGCTGCCCAGTTCGCGTTAGGCGCGTCTTCCTGTTGCCTGAGGGGAATGGAACTAACCTCTCCAGCTGCAAGTAGGTGAAAGAACCCCACCCTAACCCCAAGCCGAGCCTGGGACCGAAGCCATGGCTGTGTTGGTCCCTTTTCTCCACCTCCGCAAGCATTTGGACCCTGGGCTTCTGCTCATTACTACTTCGTTTTTTTCGGAGGCGTCTCTTGTTAGATCTATTTTGCGTTTTAATACCAGAGACATGTTCTTCAGTCCAAAGGGAAAGGGCTTCTTAAGCAGTGGCTCCCTCCCAAAAGAATTTCCCGAAAGAAATTCGGCTGCTGTTTTTTTTCTCGGAAATCTTGTCGGTTCCAGGCAGGAATGATTATATTTTATTAGGCGTTTGGGCTGTTGTCATTAATCCATTAAACATTGCATGTGCTTTTTGTTGTTTTTAATTTTTTTTCTCATGGTACCTTTTGAACATAGGCTGCTCTGAAATCAAAAGAGAATGAAATGTATTGATAAGTTATAAATGGTTTAATGAGAATGATTTCAGCAACTATCCAGAAATGACAAGGAGTCCTGGCACAGTTGATATTGGAGTGCACATTAATCCTCTGGTGTGCTGGAACTATTGTGTTGTCATAAGGCAAAGTCATCTGTTTATGGATGGTTTTTAATGCATACAAATGTATTTAGAATGAAAGAAAAGGTGAAATCTTCACTGTAGGGTTGACTTAATTTCATTATTTTGTTATTTCACAAGTACAGGTAGCAGTGAGATATTGCCTTGAAAAAATAACCATTTGAGCAGGGTAAACCAAATTGTGCTGCTCAGCACATCTGTGGAAGTATAGTTTTGTTGTCATCTGAAAATGCTACAAGGCTGCATGGAATCTGAAAATGTATAGCTACTCTGTACTCAATGTTAATTTAATTCAGGGGAAGGCAGTTTGTGTATATTGTTAAATTTTCCACAGTGGATTTTAGGACAATCCTTATTCTCTCAGGGATGTAAGAATTATCTCTTTAAAATGTCTTTTTAAAAAAGTCACTTTTTAAATGATACAGTTAAAATGATTATATGTTTTTATTTAGCATGTAACAGATTGCTTGTGACCTGGGCATTGCTAACTTTTTCTATTCAGCCTTTATAGGAATGTCCTCATTCAGAATCTGGTTTCAGTCATTCAAGCAGTTTGAAAGGGTATTTGTCGTCATTTCTTGTGAGGACAATAGGATCATGAGCTCATCGAAAAAAGTTCTATGAAAGTAGAAATTACAACTGGATGTAATGGACAAAACTCTGTATGGAGTTGGAGTTCTTATGTCAGCAGGTTGTTGTTTTTCAGCCAGAGAGACAAGTTGCTCCTTAATTTGCTGTGATAGTTAAGAGTTCTGGCTGCTTAATTCGCTTTCTTACATGGACTAGCTTCTTCTGTGTATACTAGTCCTCATAAGAAAAACCAAGATCTTTAAAAGGAAAAAGGACAGGCAATGTTCTGGTAGATTAGAAAGGCAGAAGTGGTGTTCACATTTATACAGGATAGTGCTTTACTGGTATAATGGTGAAAAATTATGTAAGAGTCAAGTTACAGTGCAGTGCTTTTCTTGTTTACAAGTTGATAATAGAAATAATAGTGCCATCATTGACAAACAGAAAATAGAATTTGCAAAGAATTCTCTGATCAACAGAACACAAAGAACATAACTTTAGAAGGCAAGTTGCATCACTGTAGATATTATCTGTTGTTACACCGTCAGTATGTGATAATGTCTGTGCTCATTTCTCAACTAGAAGCAATTTGCATTACACCGCTAATCTGTACATGAGGATTTGAGCCTCTGTTTTATGAGCAAATTTTTATATATGTGATATACTGAGGAGGATGGCCAACTTTAGTATTCTTAAGAACTGTTCTGATTTTCTATGCAAAGGCTGGAGTGAATTTTACAATATAGACTGTTTCATGTAGCATCAGTTTTAACAGAGTCTGCCTAGCATTAACAGTTTTCTAGTTACTTTGGGATATAGCGTTCTGCACAAATCATATAAGATCCAAAAGATGCTAAGTCATTATTCTACATGAAAAGTAATCATCTGAGTGAAAACTCAAGCTAAATATCTTGCTATATCTTGGTGTTTAATTTTTAGGATTGTCCTTTCTGCTCTTCAGTTGTAGTATTTTTCCTATTCCTGCTTTTTTAAATGAAATCTTCACCCTTTATTATCCTTACCCCCTTCTTTCTCCTTTCTGTTTCCCCAATCACAGAAATGTTGATATTATACATTTTATTACAAAGACAATTTGTTTATTTTATAGCTTCTGTTTTATGGCAGAAAAAATGATGTCATATGACAAGGAATTAAAGCCATTGTTGGTTCTACACAGAGCAGACTCATTGAAATGAGTCATAATGTATTTTAAATTCCATTGATTTTAGTGGCACTACAGTTGGGAGAACAATTACTGTATCTGATTTAGACCAGAATAAGTGAGCTATCTTTGTTATCTAAGGTGTGGGAGGGAGGGAATAAATGATACAATTTTTTGTTACAGTTTGACAGAGGTGAAGACAAGCGAGAAGAAAAATTCTTGAATATATTGATATATGTTGTTGTTGGCAAGTTGCCAACACACCTCAAATCCAGGAAAGACTCTGATACAAGTAAAGAGTGTTCTAAATGCACAAAGAAACTTAGAAAGCAACATATTATTAGAATTTGCCTTAAGGGTAGGTCAGCACAGCTTGAGACCCATCACACTGGATAGAGCCCATTCAGTGCTTGGCAACCCCAGTTTTTGCAATCACAGGTAGACAGGTTTGTCAGGCCTTTGATGGACTGCGGACTGTGAGCTGATGAATTGCAGTTGTACAGGACTTCTGGTATGTGTGTGAAAAACATACCATGTTGTCCCAGTGGGATAGTATTTCCTAATTTTTCTTCACCTTTACATATCTGATATTCCATTTTTTATTACATCAGTACTTATCTGTGTAATATGTCATGTCCAATAAACTGGATTCTATGTACTGATATTGGCTTAATATGCTGAACATGATAATTTCCTGAAAGATGTGTTGACTTGTCTTGATATTACCACACTTAACAAGGTACCTGTCTGGTATTAGGTCATGTCTGCCACAGTTGGCTTGAAATCTCAGTGACCTAAAAATATTTTCAAAGAAAAGGATTCACTTTACATGGTATATTCTGCTTCATCTATTCTTGAAATTCCTGCTTTTCATGACAGTGTACTTTCACTGATAGCTCATAAACAAAGAGTTGCCACTAGAAGGAAGCTATTATTTTGCTCACCTTATAATTTAGCAGTATTCATTCTTAGTAATTATAATAAGGTGAGAAGCATTTTAGTCAGAGGGAGGTAGGTGGTTTTACAGGCAGCCAAAATATGTTCCTGATGGTAGGTGGTAATACTCATTTTTAAGGTGGTAATACTCATTAATTCTGTAGTTCTGTCATTTTGGATCCTAGGTGAGCAGTTCTGCTTGAAATTAGTCTCTTAATCCATAGTGAAGATGCTGTATTCATGAATGTTTTACGTTCTGCTGTTAACCAAAATAAATGGCTTTGGACTGGCCTATTGTATATGCATCTATTCTGCATTTTGTGAAGCTTGGCTGGGATAAACTACGAAAGTAACAGCATCACAGAATTAATGTGACAAATTACTTGTATTTACATTCATTTACCTTAAAAGCGCCATTAGCGTTGCTGTAAGTCAGTTCTGACTTGATGGCATATAACAACAACAAAATTATAGTCTGAAATGGAACGTATTTAAAATCTGTTGTGATGGGGGCTCTTATGATCAACCATTCACCTAATCTAAACCTTTTATTAAATAATTTGTCATTCTCAAAAGACTATTAGAAGTATACATTTAGCGTGCAATTCTTCTAATCAAATGCACTAATTATTCCTTTAATTTCATAATAGCTTGTCAGTTTGTCAGATATAACTTGTACTGCCCCAAATTCTAACTCTCTTAAGAAGAAAATAATATTAAAAGTATTAATAGATGAGCCTTGTTTTTGGAACATATAAGGCAAGGGCGCGAAAACGCTGCACGCGGCCATTTTGGCCGCCAAACAGCTGATCGTCGGGCTTCGTTTTGTGAAGAACGGTAAGCGAAACGCTTACCGGTCTTCGCAAAGCGAATTTAGCCCTATTTAAAAAACGTCAAGCGATCGCATCAGCGATCCGAAAAAACGGATCGCTATGCGATTTCATCGTTATGCGGTGCGCTCGTTAAGCGAGGCACCACTGTAATATTAAAAGTATTAATAGAGGAGCCTTGTTTTTGGAACATATGTCCTTGCAGCATAAGAGGAGGTACTTGATTTTTCCTTTTCATCTCATTGATTTATTCTATATAGTTTCCTTATTACAGATTATCTTTTTAAAAATGTTTTGCATCAACCTGTGGCTGTTCCTTGGTCAACGGAAATGCTGCATATTGTGAAAAAAAATCACAATGAAAATTTCTCTGAGCACAGGTGGTCTGAATGATGGCAGTCCAGTAAACAGACTAGCAGGTTGAGTCTCCCTTGGAGATGGAGAGTATGTGTATCCCAGAGGGGAGATGGGAAAGGGAGTTCTCCTTAACTAGGGGACTAGTGGC